GGATGAGGTGGGGGCAGTGGGGGAGGATGTGGGGAGAGGGGGGGCAGGGGGGCTGCTATCTGCTCTCACAACCCCCCGTTTCCCCCCACAGATGCTGCGCTCCGTGTTCTGCTCGCTATGGGGCGTCCTGGGGGGGTTTTACTGCCTGGTCGTGTCCGCCACCGGCCTGGCCAAGGGGCCCCTCTGCCAGGATGCTGAGGGGACATGGGGGTCGCCCTTCCAGGACATCAGGTAAGGGGGCGGGGCCCTGCCCCATCCCATAATAACCCTGGGGAGCCCCGAGAGCTGGGAGCCCCTCAGCCTGACACTCGAAAACTCTAGCCCCCCACAACCCCAACCCTGACCCGCCCAGCCCCCCAAATCCTGCCCCCCCACATCCCTAGCCCTCCTAACCTCCTCCTGAATCCTCCCCCTTCCACAGCTCTCAGAAATCCTGCCCCCCCCCCCCCAGATCCAGGTCCCCCCGCCCCATGGACCCAGGTCTGCCCCCCTGCAATGCCCCAAACTTTCCCCTTCCCCTGGCAGTGCTGGGGGCGCACCCCCTCCCTCGCTCCCACCCCACCCCAGGGCCAACAGGAACCCCCTGGGGAAACCGAGGCAGGCGTGGGGGGGTTCATAAAGATAGCACCCCAACTCCCACGCTCCCTGCCCCCTTCCCCCACCACTCCTGCCCCCCCCCCCCCCGCCCCCCCCCGCCCGCCCCGGGCCCCCCCCCCCCCCGCCCCACAGCGAGAACTACCTGGCGAACAGGACGCTGTGGGAGCTGTGCGTGACCCCGCCACGGGCGGTGCTGTGGCACGTGGTCCTGTTCTCCGTCACCCTGGGGCTGGGGGCCCTGGAGCTGGCCCTGTGCGCCCTGCAGGTGTTCAACGGGCTGCTGGGCACCGTGTGCGGGGACTGCCGCAAGCCGGCCGAGCGCCAGGTGAGAGACGCCCGGGGGTGGGTGAATACCCGGCCGGGGCACGCGGGGAGCTGAGTGAATACCCGGCCGGGGCACGCGGGGACCTAGGTAAAAACCCGGTTTGCGGGGTGGCCAGGGAGCTGGGTAAATACCCGGTTTGGGGGGCGCCCGGGGAGCTGGGTAAATACCGGGTTTGCGGGGCTCCGGGGGAGCTGGGTAAATACCCGGTTTGGGGGGCGCCCGGGGAGCTGGG